GGGACTCTACGAATCAATGGCTGGAGACAGACAATAGGTGACATGGCTCAAAATCGTTGTCAATGGCTTACGCAGATGTATTCAGTCTGTGTAATTTCTCATATTCCTTTTAATAATAATAATAATAATAATAATTTGCTTTATTCCAAAACAGTACCATTACTCATTCTGTTTCACTCTTATACTTGTCAAAACTCTATTGATTCTCTTCACTCATCTTCTTGTCTACCTTTGTGTGCTATTTGGAACGTGGCAACTGGAACTGCTGCACTTTGGTGCCAAGTTCTATGTTGAATCCAGCCAGCCAGCCATTAGATGCTTAGCGTACTAGATGCTCTGGCGGTGTTCCCCTGACTTCATATCTCCAGATCTTTCAAGGGTGATCTGAAAGTCGGCGACTTTATGGTTGTGTAAAGGGAGAGATAGTAGGGTGCTACGCCATGAATATATCTCCTGCCCTGATAACATTTACGGAAATATGACTCAGATGTTGAATCGCTTGACTTTCATGTAATGGATTTCAGATTCGAATCCGACACCAACTGTCTTAACTTGAGCAATATTAATAAACCTCCATATTAGTTTGTTTACTAGATGTATCACGCAGTGAAACGGTATTATTTACTGGATGACGTTTCTTATGAACTAAAACATAGATTAGATAATTTAAAATTAGATAATGAAGAGAAAATGGTTAGTTTTGACATTGTCAGTTTATATACACCTATACCAATAAATATGGCTATAGAGGCAGTCAGAAACGAACTCATTTCTGACCAAGAACTCGAAGTTAGAACAAAAGTGCCACTTGGGGACATAATGCTGAGAGTGCAGGTATGCTTGGCTTCCACAGTATTTAAATTCTAAGGGAAAATACACAAGCAAACTGAGGGAGTTGCCATGGGATCACCAGTATCCCCGGCCGTGGTGGATATATTCATGGAGTGGTGGGAAAACATAGCAACTGAAAAGTTCACCCCCACCCTAAAAGTAAGGTGGAGGTATGTAGATGACACATTCACTGTACTTAATACACAGGATATAGATAGATTTTTCGAACACATTAACTCAAAGGTGGAGGCAATTCAATTCACTTGTGATGAATTGGAAAGTCAGGAAGGGGAGCTTCTAATGTTACATTGTAGCGTAAAAAGGAAAGAAGATGGGAAGTTAAACACTAGTGTTTACAGGGAACCCACACATTCAAACGGATATTTGGATTTACGATCATTCCATCCTATGTCAGTAAAAATAGGATTGGTGAAATGTTCAAGTAATGGGGCACAAAAACTGAGTGGTACCAAGGAAAACCTAAGACAGGAAGTGAGGCATATAAGAGAAGCTTTGAAACTTAATAATTACCCTATAAATTAGTCAGGAAATATAAAAATAATAATAATGACGACATGCATGTCAAATATGCGCAAGACAACACGAACAATAAGGAATTTAAATCATCAGTAGTAATTCCATACAAGGAAGGAACCTCGGAAACCACCTTACGCAGAATTGTTAACAAGCCAGGCACAAATAAAAGTGGCTGGCATTCAAACCAACAAACTCAATTAGAAACAAGCTTTGTCGGTTAAAGCATCCTATAGAGCCTTTGAAACAAAACAATTTAGTTTATCTAATGTCCTGCTGGAATGATTGTCAGGTCAAATGCATAGGTCAAACTAGTAGAACAGGGGCAGTCAGACTAGCTGAACATAAAAACTTAGCAAAATCTAGATTGGTTGACCCGAATAAGATAAGAAATCTAGAGAATAGTTCAGCTATAGCAATACATGCAGTCACACACAACCATACAATAGGATGGGATAGGCTGACAGTTTTAAAATCTAATGTCACAGGGTGAATGGAAGGAGAGATTGATAACAGAAGCTTTGTTTATCGAATCAACTGAGACAGAGTACGTGTAATAGGAATGATTCAACACCTGTCCATTCGGATATCTGGAAAATTCTACTACCCCTACAAACAGGAGAGAACAAAGATAACTATAGAATTCACTTACTACCACACTGCCCAAGTCTTACACATATATCAACAAACCTCATTCAATAAGCCCCATCTATTGCTTGATACATCCTGAGAAACCTGAGTTCTACTCACCCATATCGAATCATGCACTGGGAGGCGGATATTCGATAGGATAACCATAGAAACTTTGTATCAAATAATACAAAATTTTAGACTTAACTGGATGATTGTTGACAGCAGAGTAGAAATGCTACTTAGATGTGACAAATAATTTTTGTGGAATGTTTAGCTGAAGGAAAACGACAAGGTGTTTAGCGTGAAAAGTTGTACCTGTCGAGGATAGTTGGCAATAAAACCTGTACAATGTCAGTCCATCATTCAAGTATCGAAGTTATTCTACATGTTTCCAGCTGGCATATAAGCGTTACTAGCACAACTAGCTTCACAGTCCAATGGAGTTAGTCACCGACGAGCTTCACACCACTAAGTTTGTGCGTATATGAGGGATAATGATACTCACATGCTCAGCTTGCCAAGACACGGTAGACGGAGACAGTTTAGTACAAGCTACAACCCAGTGCGGTTGAAAGTCGAGTGAATTAACGACTGAGCTACAAGCTTGCCTGTTCACCCCTATTGCTATGGAGTAACTTCGCTTCGTTTCTAGATGACACGTCTTTAGCCTTATTTTATGTATGGAGATGTGTGTTTCACCACAGAATTCGACACCGCATAAAGCCTACCATCTGAACCTAGTTAACTGGAATAGGATTTTCACGTGTCAGTCTATGAACTAGACATACTAGGCGAAAGCTGATGGTGTCATCCAGACTGAACTAGAAACGGGTGAACAAATTGGCTGTAGGCGGTGTGATTCAGACAATGAGCTACTTCTTTGAGTCAGGTGGATATGAGCATCAAATTCTTAGACATACTGGGTGATAGGTTGTGTATCCATGATTTTAGGAAGAAAACTCTAGTCATGTTTCCATAAGTCAGAGGTGTTCTGGGATGTACAGTTTTCTTAGTGCAAATGAATTCACATATAGTTACTTCTGATGGTTCCATCCAGAAGTCCCTAGCCGGCCGGTTTTTATCTTTCCAGTAGAAGTATTCAGGACTCTTGAACTTCAAATGCTATCACAGTTATTCAGTTTAGGCATGCAGAATAAAAGTTGACACCACAAAATCAGCTTACGTGCATAGACACTACAGCGTAAGGCTAGGTAGAAAAGATATTTCTAGAGTCTAGACTTTCAAACGATTAGACGAGTCTATGTTCAAAGTACTCTAAGCAACATATGCCAGGCCTCAGACAAGCGGCTAGTCCATGCTTCAAGAAGGAGGGACATATCTTAGAAAGAGTACAAAGGGTAGGAACCAAATTAGTTAGTGGTATCTCACACCTTCCTTATGATAAAAGGATGGTGCATTTAAATCTCTTCCTGTTATCATACCGAAGGAAGACAGGTGACTTGAAATACGTGCAGAATTTAGATTCTCTCACAGAGAGTGGTCAATGACAGGAACTCCTTACCCGAATCAGTAGTATCACCCACATCGACGAAAGCTTTCAAAGAGATGTTAGGTCTCTACAGAGATATATTTTGCAAGGATTAACAAAGGTCACAAGAGACTACTATCCTTATCTCATCTGAATTCCTCAATTCTCTCAAGTAACACACTATTTCTAGCTAGAACTGTACATTTAGTAGGACTAGACATCAGAACGACCAAACTATGCTGGGCGATAGAATGGCTACAGCTCAAAATGGTATGAACTTCAAGAGACCATATATAAAGATACCATAGGGATGTTGGAGAAATGCTCAACAGTGTACAAGCCTATCCCAAGTAACTGATACGTGTCACTAACTGGTTTCAAAGTAGAACTTTGAACAGATGTGCAGCAGTTCCAACTGCCACACTCCCTCCATCCAGCACACAAAGCCAGAGAAGAGAGATAATAAAGAGAAGTGTGAGTGAGGGAAAATGAATAGTAATATGGAAGAACAATACAGCCTTGTGGGATATGAAAAATCACAGAGTGAATGCATCTGCGCCAGATATTGTGAATGATTTGTAGCCATATCAACCAGTTGTCTCCAACCGTTGGTTCTTAGAATCCCAAGGACCCCAACCAGGAAGTCTACAACTCCCTATACTGCTGGGTGGCTGTTTTGAACTAACTGTTATGGATTTCTTTGACTGATGAAGCCATGATTTAGTTTGACCACCACTAGCTAACTCTTCCAACTTGATCCATCCCATATCATTTAACATTGTCAGTCAAGGAAGGCGATCGGTCGCTAGGAGTGCATGCGTAACACATGTGCTAAGCATCTCAAACGATGTAACTGATACGTAATCACCAACTACATGTGCCTTTCAAAGAAAGATAGGAAACAGTACATCAGATAAGCGGAACTGACTGGTTTAAACATAGAACTTTGCACCGATGTGCAGCAGTTCAAGTCGCCACACTTCACTCAGCACACAAAGCAAGAGGAAATGCATAGTAGTGAGAGTAAACAGAGATACGAAGCAAAAAGAATAGTAACATCGAAGAACAGTATAGCTTTACTGGGTACTATAAGTCACAGGGAATGGATGCACATACGTCATTGAGCCATATCACCAACTGTCTCCAGCCATTGGTGTTTACCGTCCCGAGGAACACAACCAGGGAGTCTACATCCTCCTACATGGCTTAAACTAACTGTTATGGATTTCATTGACTGATAAAGCCATGTTTTGGTTTGACCACCACTGGCTAACTCTTTTCCAACCTGATTCTTCCTATGTCAGCTAACATTGGGACGAACAGAATGGACCTAAGCTAATACAATCTTCAGACCGACACCAATGGGTCTCTCACAAACACTGAAAAACAGCAGAGATGTGCAAGTACCACCCAACTACGCAGCCAAAAAGCACTGGATGCATAACATACTCAGCAAACATCATCATTTCAGCTTACTATGACACGCACGACCAAAAGCAGAAGGGAAAACAACCTGTTTAGTAACAGTAACATTTTCAAACTTACAATATAACTTAACAATCAAGAAATGAACAATAACACTGGTAGTAGTAGTAGTAATAGTAACCATAATAGATATAAGACATAGGTATTAGAATCTCACATTACATAATACGAGAGTAATTCAGAACACAACTGTTTGTTGATGTACATTCACAATCAGTGTGTTTATATATATATATATATATATGACACAAAAATAGTAATAATAACAAGAGAAAAACAAAAAACAAAACAAATCGAATGTATACAAAGTATAGGAAGGAACTGAAACGTTGTTGTTATGGGTCTCATCGAAGTGGTTGGTGTTGTTGTCGCTTCGGGGAGTTAGAACATTTTTAAATGCAATAAAACCTGTACAACTGAGTTATCAAAACAATATGTCAAGAACTCAACAAAGAAAGAGAGAAAAAACAAACAAAACATAAAGTCAACTATTCTGTTGTTCACTGTTTGTCTAAAACTGTTCACTCTTCTTCTCCTTCATCAGCCTCTCCGTCCTCTTCATCTTCAAGTTCTGCACCATTCTCATCACCGGCACCACCACCACCACCCCCACTTGTCACTGTACTACAATCTGGATTCTGAGATTCCGAAGCACCAACTGACGTGGAGTTTGAAACTGATCCTGCAACCCTCTTTTTTGGTACATATGTCCCTGCTCGATATTTTATCATATCCTAAAGGAAAGCGAGTGTATGTGGTGTTGAACCAAAAAAGCAGATCCTTGGACCTACCTCTTCATAACGTTGTTTATCTTTCTGTGCTAGAAGTTCATATTTAGCTTTATCTTGACAACTTTCCCATTGACGACCAAGTTCTTTAGCGACATCAGCAACTTTCCAATCAGGATTACTCTCTCTGACTTTTGAACGGAATTCATCACAGAAGAAAAAGAAAGCAGACCAAGCTCGTGTAGGAACTGATGGATCTTTTGGACCTTTCCTCTTCTTGCCTTTCTTCATACCATCTGGTGGGATATAATCATTCATTTCTCGGTTAAATCTTTCTCTATCCATAGCAGCTAAATCTTCAAAGCGTTTTTTCTCTTTTGGTGTCATAAGCTAAAGTTTTTATTTTAATCATTAGAAACACTATGAAACAGATACACTTACATTCCAGCGTTCTGCACATTTCTTTGAAAAATCACGAAATACAATCTGTTCACCAGGATGCTTCTTTTTGTGCTCTTCTCGGATGACTTGAACAAAGCAAGCATACGCTGACATAGGACCTTTAGGCTTATTCTTATCCTTAACCATTTTATTCATGGCTTATAATTTTAAGTGAGTCTGTAAAGGAAGATAACACTTCAGTATTAAATAGTGCATTGCATAATATAGTGCATAAATATAGTGGCTTGTAGCTACTGTTAACATAAAGGCGCAGACTTACCCGTCAATACAATACAAAGGATGGCTAGGCGTAAGCAAATCTCTATCGGATAGTCAGTTAATACAAGCCTCTATAGTAAAGCAGATAGGGAAGGCTGTATACGGAAACAAGATAGCAATGGCTAAAGCAGACCGTTGCAATCAATCTAACATAGGCAGGTCAAAGACGTAGTCAGCCAATCAGATTTAAGTTTTTGCATAAAGATGACTGCGCTACATATTATGCAAAATATACATTAATTTTTAATTTTTTAAAGTAAAAATTTTAATATGCTTCGAAAAATATCAATTTTTTAACACTCAAAATAAAAGCTTGTTTGTAATAATTATAAAATTACGAGGCAATTTGATTTGCATACTTTTGGCGCCAAAACAGTCTAGATGATAAATAATGACTGAAAATTTGTCTACACAGCTCTCAAAAACATTTTATCCGATAGATGAACGTGTTGGAGCGTCTATGAGAGTTGTATCTGGCCACCAAAGCAGGCATAAACAGAAGCATATAGCCTTTACAAGTATATTATGTGGCGTATTACTAATATGATTTAGTTTCATTAACAAAACCAACTAGTATTCAAGTATATTTGATTAAAGTTACTGAAAAAAATGAAATCAAAAAAGTATTACTTTGCAATGTTAAGAACATAAAGAAAATTGACTGCAGGGATACAAAGACACAACCTAGTTATGAGTTGCAAATCATTACAGAAAATAAAGTTAGTTGATTTTGATAGCTAACATGTTATTTCCATTATTAACGTGCATGTATGAAGCGAACAAGGTATATGCCTCCTAACTATTTCATGTTCAGTACTTCAGTGGATGAGTAGGCAGTATATTGTTTATATATGCATTTTCATGTCACACTTCTGAGCACGCTTTCCAGATTCAGATTATAAGGATAGAAGGCTCTTGTTGCCTATGTTAATCCTCGCGATATATATGTCTGCAGAGATCCAGTTTCTCTTTGAAAGCGTTCACCGATGGAGCTGTTACTACTGAATCAAGTAAGGAGTTCCAGTCGTTGACCACTCTGTGAGAATCTAAACTCCAACCGTATTTTATTCGACCTCGGTTTGAGCACCTTCTTCTGGTGACCCAGTAAATGTATCCTAGAAGGGGAGAAAAGTTTTGAAAGGTCAATTCCTAAATCACCCTTAAATATACGGAATGCCAAAATTAAGTCGCCTCTCCTCCTTCGGTATGATAATGGGAAGAAATTTAAATGCTCCATCCTCATTTCATAAGGAAGGTGTGAGATACCACTAACTAATTTCGTTTCTACCCTCTGTACTCTTTCCAGGGTATGTGCCTCCTTTTTGAAGCATGGACTCGCCACTTGCATGCAGTACTCTAGATGAGGCCTGACATATATTGCATAGAGTAGTTGGAACATACCCTCGTCTAATCGCTTGTTTAATGGGATTCGTAGCATCTGAAGTTTGAGTATTTGCTAATCATTATAGCACGGATCATTGGACCACAATGCTTCCAAATAACCGCTGACCGTATGCATCTATCTGAATGCTTATCGTCATTGTTGTTCCAATGTTGAGTTCCTATTTTAATGCTGATCTCATTTTATAGTTTTGTATGGCTAGTAGACTATTCAAATTGTTGAACGGTAGCAGCAATTACCAAGATCCGTTTAAATAACCTGAAACTGACCCACAGATGGATGTGCGTGTAGATGTAGTAAGTGTTAGAAGAGGAAATATGTTTTGGATGGTATATGAAGTGTTTTGCTTATGTTGTGGGCACCTCTTTTTCTAGGTTGAAACTACTTCATACCAATATTTTATTATGCATAAATGATTAGTGCAGCGATCTATGAAGTTGTCATCGAGTGAAACAGACAACAGCCTTATTTGAATAGTTCACTGGTTCCAGTGTAGTATTCATGCACATTATTATTATTGTTTCCTTTAATTCCCAGAGGAACATAGGGCTTCAGCCAAACGTCTCCATTACGTTCGGTTCTCTGCTAGAGTCTTCACCTGGCTCCAAGTCTGCCCACATGCTTTCATCTCCTCTTCACATAACCTCCTCCAAGTCACCCTTGCACTGACGACCAACTCGCCGCTTCCCTTTCGGGTTCCACTCGACCTGGCTTGTCTAGTGATGTCACTTGATGGTTTCCTTAGAGTATCACCAATCCAATATATCTCCATTCCTTCCTGCATATTTGTTGCACAATCGGTTCCTGTTGAGTTGGTTTGCTCCCAGAGATCTCTGTTGCTGATCTTTTCTGGCCATCTGATCTTGAGTATTGAGCGAAGACAACTGTTAATGAAGGTCTTTAGTTTGTTTGAGATGCTCTTTATGACGCGCAGTGCAAGTCTCTGATCCGTATAGTAAGTAGCACTGACTTCACATTGGAGTTGAAAATCCGGATCTTATTTTTGATGCTGAGTGCTGTTGACCTCCACACAGACTTGAGAGTAGTGAAAGCACATATTCATCAGGAATTACTTTACAGAACATGGAGAATTATGCTGTACAAACTAATCTACTTGTATGTTTTAAAATACATTTCCTTAATAGATCTACCAGTTTTAGTGTTCCTCTACTCCGATTCGCTACTTAAGTTCACTTAGAGGATTTTCGGTAACGTCCTCTGTAGTTTAACTCGCTCAGTTATGAATTATACCAATGCAATATAGTGACATGTATTAAGGTGTAGTGCCTGTTTTGATTATAGCTTTTGAGACCGTAGACCCTATGGTCGTACGAGGCTTACAAAATAACATTCAAGAGACTCACATAGTTTCAGGCTAACTTGCAGATTTGTCGACTGGGTTTTAAGTGACCCCAATATTCAACACATCTACCAGCATTCAATGTTAATTGTGTTTTTTGATTCATGGGTTACTCCTTCAATCGAAATGTTTGTGATACAGTGTTTTTATTGACTACCCTCTTAAGAAGGCAGTATACTCGATTCCTAGTAATGTCGTGTTATGATTTATGTTACATCATTTGACAAGTTGTCTTTGTTTAGTGGTGTTAGTCTAGGAAGTTTACTTTGTCCATTCCCAAAAGATATTTCTTGTGGAAGCCACTATTTTCACATGGCTTTAGAAACTTACCTTCCAAGAGATGTCTAGATGGCCGAAATAGTCAAAGAGAGTCCACCTAAGTGAGTTGAGGAGCTTCAATTTTAAACCTATGCCGAGCTTATGCTCCAAGATCTGGAGTAAACGAATAGCGTATGAACCTGTTTTGACCACTGGAACCTTTGAAACACCTCCCCTGACGTTGCTTTACTGTTTTTCTGCGAGGGGGAGGGATTGGATTTCAAGTCAAATGCTCAAGAAGTGGTTCTTCAAGGCATGCATCTGCTTCGGTCTGTTCCCCGGCAGTATTCCAGCACTCATCATAATAATTAATTACTTATTCTTGTGTTCAAGTTAGTTTGAAGTCACCAGCAGTGGTTATTTTTACGGGTAGAGTTGCCAGCCTTACACCCAACCTTCGCTTTTTGCCGGGTTTATGAAGTGCTAAGCGAGGTTGGAGAGTACGTCGACCGGCGATCGAACCCTGATACTCATGCGAGTTGGTACATATCTGTGTGCTTACATTATACTAAGTTCGAGTTTTAATTAAGATAGAATAATAGTTGTAGGTCAGTTGAACTACTTCCTTTAAGTGTTTTACCCAACATTCCATTCGGTTCTCCTGAAGAGTTATCGAATTTTCATTCTTCTTGGTGTTCGTTTTACCTACCAAAGCCTTTGCAAAACTTGCTTACTTAAGAAGCTTATTCGGTTGGTGGGCATTATCTAGTAGTAGTCACTTGTCTGGTGCGTTGGTGTCACGTCGGTAGAGTGCTCGCCAACCACGCACTCCTTTACCTCGCCAAGCCAATAGTAAGACTGGTAAAGAGGAAAGGTTAGTCGGGCATGAGGCTAGCAACCCCATCCTGTAAAAATAAACATCACTGCTACAGAAACTTCAAGCCTCTAGCTTGAAGGTGCCCTATGTTCCACTGGGAACGTAAAGGAATAAAAAGTGCCTTGCGTATTTCTCTATCTTTCATTATGCATTGATGTTCATGGTAGTTGTGACAGCTTCAAAGCAAAGCTCGTCTTCATGCTTGTCATCTTTCCAGCCTACTGTGAGATCAGTCATCTTCCGAAAATCTGGCTTTTTACTATCGTATGACTGCAGGTTACCACCAGCTGTCTCCAGTATTTCTGCAACAGACTAAGTTTGTTACCAGGCTTCTCCAGGACTCTTGTTGTGAAGTCTCTTGACTCATTAACTGAATCACTCCACTTTCAGCCAGTGGGTCTAGTGTTTGATTAAAGCTTCACCTATCCCAGCTTGGGCAACTGAGTAGTACGTCACGTCAGCCCTCACATAATAAGTTTAGCTGATTTCATTATGTTTGTTCCATGCTACTATTCTTTCTCCCATACATTTCTGCTTATTGTAGTTCTTTTGAATCTTATCGGTTGTCTACTTTTATACCCCACATGGAGTGTGGCAACTTGAAGTGCTGCATTTCTGTGTTGAAACTTGGTCAGTCTATGAGAAATCTGTTCTGAGTAGTTGTGTTCTACTTCTTGGTTAGAACCCTTTCGATGAAGGTTGATTGCTTGTACTAGCCGTCTTCGATTATAGGTGTGTCTGCGTTCTATCTTCCGTGTTAGGTGGGATAATACGGTGAGTAATATTGAGGTTAGGCATCGGTCGAGTGCTAGGTGAAGGGGGAAAATCAATCGACGAGGTTATGAAGTTACATCGATTGAGAAAATGGTTAGGACATGTGTTACGCATGCATTCCTAGCCATCGCCTTCCCCTACTGACAATGTTAGCTGACTTAGGATGGATCAGGTTGGAAAAGAGCCAGTGGTGGTCAAAACAAAACATGGCCTCATGTGTAAACTTCCTGGTTGGGGTCCTTGGGACGGTAAAAGCTAGTGGCTGGAGGCAGTTGGTGATATGGCTTAAAATCCTTCTCATTGGTGCAATAAAATTCTGTTGTTCTTCCGTATTACTTTTCTTTTTGTCCCATATTTCTGTTTATTATCTTGAATCTTTGTCTACTCTCTTCTCTTGTTTTGTGTGCTACATGGAGGGAGTGTGGCAACTCGAACTGCTGCACATCTGTGCAAAGTTCACGTTGAAACCAATCAGTCACTCACTTAATGAACCACATCATTTTGCAAAGTGCCTAATGATGTTTGTGTATTTTCATACTTCAGGTACCAGTCTTTATGCTCATTCACCTAGCGTAATTTGTTACGCTTGTTGTAACTCAGTCAGCAGGTGTCGTACTATTTTTGTTGTTATTTCCTTCGGTTCCGAGTGGAATATGGGGCTTTAACAGCACATCTCCATCACAACTGCCCATGAGCCTTTAACTCCTCCTCATACGGTCTCCTCCATTTCACTCTTGGACGCCCAACTCATCGTTTCCCATTCGCGTTCCACTCTCTAGAGCTTGCTGCTTGTTGGCACTAAACAGTCTTCTCATTGTGTATCCGATGCATCTCCATTTGCTTCTGCACATCTGTTGTACAGTAAATCCCTGGTTGGTTTATTCCCAGAGTTCCTTTTTGCTAACCCTTTCCTGTAGGTCATCTAATCTTTAATATAGACTGAAGACAGCTGTCGATGAAAATTTGCATCAGCCTGTTGGAAATGATTCTGGGTCAAGTCTTTGATCCGGATCTTGTTCTTTATGCTAATTGCAGTAGATTCCCACACTGTTTTTAGAGTAGGGTGGTTCTGTTTTGCCTTTCTAATACTGCCTTCGACATCCTCATTGATCCCCACCAGTAGAAACGATGCTGTCTAGATAAGTGTAAGAAGTGATTTCATCAGTGGTGGTCGGTGCTTGTTAATATTGATCGTCGGGTATCTTCTGTGTGTTTATTTGAAGCTCTCTCTTCTTTGCTTTTGCTTCCAACTTGTTGGTTTTCTCCTGTATATCTGCGAGTTTATATGATATAAGACACAAATCGTCCGCAAACTCCAGGTCTTGTGATCTTCTTGTCCATTCAATGCATACCAGTCCTGTGGCTCCCTGCAGTCTGTCGCATAAATCCCACCAACTGCGATCAAAGGTATCATCGGTGATAGTAGGCAGACAGCCTTGTCTTACTCCTGTCTTTGTTTAGCATTCTTTTGTGAATCATTCGGTATGTAATGGTTGAATGAAGCTGATAAAGGTCTGGGACATTCCTTACTATTAAAGAATGATGCTCACGAAGGCTTCGTGTGCATTTGGAAGTGTGTGGGCGGTTGTTACTTCCCGGCTGCCCACACCGTGAAAGTTGATTGATTCTTCGGGTACCTGAAACAGAAAAAGGGTTAGTGTTGTGTGACCACAGAGCCCAAGGGACAACTGCTTGAGACCAGCCGGTCACACACAGCCTGGTTTCTTGGATTGACTCCGTATTAGTAAACTTACCACCAGTTACGGACCACCGTAGGGTAAGTCGGGATGTACAATTGTTGGGGTCAACCTTTTCTAACCCTCTCTCTCCCTCAGAGTGGAGAGACAGCATAGCTGGCTGGCATGCTGGTCGTCTGAGGGAAACACCTTACTGTGGCTGTTACATCCCTGTTCCCCAGCAGTACGACTTCGCCCACAGACCCTCAGAATTGCGTAAAAAAAATTCTTTTAGTCTAATCGTTATCTTAACAACCTTCTTGGCATGGTAGGACCTGCAGGAACATTAGTTCCAACCAGTGTAGCTTGTTGGGTCATTGCGATCTGCAAGCCCGACCACCACGTCAAGGTTTCAGCTATCGGTCAGGAGTCAGTCAATTGCGGCATTTTCGTAGTGTTAGAGCAGTTTCCAAATCACTTCACAGTCGACACTGTCAAAGGCCTTTTCATCAAGTCAATGAAGCTAAGGTACAAAGTTGACTTCTCTCTATTCCCTGTTCGATGAGATGTGCTTGTGTTTGCTTTCTCTTTGAACACATCGATATACTTTTTGAAGAAGTACTTATATTTTATTCTCTTTTTATTATTTCTAGACATGGGTGTTTAATGCGTCAAAGCTGGAAGAGAAACGACAGTTTATTAGCCTATTTTGTCGTATATTCGCCACACTCTTACCGCATATTTTCAAAGATGTTGAATTAGTCAACTTTCCACAGAATATTAATATATCACCTATTGGACAAAATGAATCGTTAGATGTCTTGTTGAGTAAGTGGAATTTTTATTTTTTTAATTTATCAATCAATACTTCCCCTTTTTCTGTTGTTGTTCATGTTACTCTTCGATTACGTGATACTAGAATGTGTGTATTATGAATGTAGGTAATTGATTTTTAAGCAGGGTATTTGTCGTTTAGAGTTCTATTCAACATTGTATAACCTGAACAGCTGAGCTTCTAAAAGTTTTGGTGGGGCTCATATCTCTCTATTATTATTATTTCTTTTAATTCCTAGAGGAACATAGGGCTTCAGCCAAACGTCTCCATTGCGTCCGGTCCTCTGCTAAAGTTTTCACCTGGCCTAGAAGTCTGCCCACAAGCTTTCATCTCCTCTTCACATGACCTCCTCCAAGTCACCCTTGCACTGACGACCAACTCGCCGCTTCCCTTTCGGGTTCCACTCGAGCGATGGCCTGTCGTGTGATGTCACTCACTTGGTGGTTTGTTTTCTCAGAGTATGGCCAATCCACCTCCATTTCTTCCTGCTTATTTGTTGCACAATCGGTTCCTGGTTGGTTTGCTCCCAGAGATCCCTGTTGCTGATCTTTTCTGGCTGGCTATCTGATCTTGAGTATTGAGCGAAGACAGCTGTTTGAGATGCTCTTTATGACGCGGCGCCAAGTCTCTGATCCGTATAATACGTAGCACTGACTTCACATTGGAGTTGAAAATCCGGATCTTATTTTTGATACTGAGTGCTGTTGACCTCCACACAGACTTGAGAGTAATGAAAGCTTGTCTTGCTTTCCAGATCCTCACTGCTTTGATATCCTCGTCAGTTCCGTCCAGCTGTAGTTGAAACGATGCTTCCCAGCTGGAGAGATGTGAAGGAGGTTGTTTCTTTCAGGTTCCTCCCATTTATGCTCCCATATCTCTCTGGTGCTGCATATACTCGAAAGGTTCCTGTTTTGCTGGATTATTATTCATCCATGCATTCCTCGTTATCAGTTCCCTGTGGTTCCACGATTTATTACTCAGCAAGGTTTCATTTCTTCTTCAAATGATCTTTATGTCAAACTCATGCTCAACTCATTGTTTCTCATCCAGGTTCAACTCAGGGGGCCTGGAGTGTGATGCCTCTTGAAGGTCTTCTCAGAGTATATGTCCAATCCATGTTTATTTCATTTCGCATTTTTTTGGGAAGTAGGTTGTTGGCCGGTTTTCCGGTAGAGTTTCTTATTGGTCATAGGTTAAGTTAGGTAGTTTCAACAAAGAGCTTTGCACAGATGCGCAGCAGTTCCAGTTACCATACGCCCTCCATGTAGCACACAAACCAAGAGAAGGTAGTAAAGAGAGATTCCAAATAAGATGGTCAACAGAAGTGTGAGTGGGGGAAAAAGAATGGTAATATCTAAGAACAATTGAGTTTTATTGGATATATTATAAATCACAAAGAGTGAATGCTGGCTGGCTTAAACTAACTGTTATGGGTGGATTTGATTGACTGATGAAGCCATGTTTTGGTTTACCACCGCTAGCTTTTTCCCAACCTAAATGGTGTTATGTCAACTAACATTGTCAGTAGAGGAAGGCGATGACTAGAAATGTGTAGCACATGTCCAAACGATCTCAGTCGACGTAGATTCACAAACTTATTTATTGATTTTCCTTCCTTACCTAGCACTCGACCGATGCCTAACCTCAATATTACTCACCCTACTATCCCACCTAACACGGGCGACAGAACTTAGACGCCTATGATAAAAGACAGTTAGCCAAACTTTTCATGTCTTCCACTTTCAACGGCTATGTCTCACCACTTGCAGCGGCCACATAGAAGGTCGGTTATAGTTTTTGCCTATCTGACCTTCCTTGTGAAGTCAAGGAAAGTGTTGTTAAAGGTGTGCAGTGGATCCTTTTGAAAGCAATTCTCTGAACTCTGAGGATAATTTGGATAGAACACCTACTCAGTCTAAACACGTATTTGGAGTCAACACGTCGAAATCCTTGACGTTGTCCCTCACAGGTAAGAGCAGCCAGTCATTCAGTATTCGTTCAGCTTCACATAAAAATGTCTCCAACGTTTCTTCATTCAATCTTTGGTTTTTAATTATGGAGCTTAAAATACGCTTAGTAATTCCTATAAGTCTTTCCCGTAGCCCACCTCTGAGACTGGCTTATGGTGGGTTGAAGTGCCACTCGGTGTTTCTTTTCAATAACTCTCCATGAACTCTCGTTTGAGGACCTTCGAATTACTCTTTAAGCTCGGTGTGACAGCCCAGAAATTAGTCCTCATGTCACTGAACATGATCATAGAATGAGTCGAAAATGTTACAGGATACATGGGATAATATAACTCCTTACACACCGTTGTGAATAACTCCACAGCTAGCAAGGCTGCAGTAAGTTCTAATCTCGGAATCGAAACCGTCTTTAGAGAGGTGCAACTCTAGATTTACCCATCACGAGGCGAACATCTATATCATCCCTTAAGGTGGTAGTTCTGATGTAAACGGCTGCTCCAAATCCAACCTCAGAGGCATCAGAAAAAACATGGAAGTCAATTATATCATGATTTCTCGATGGCTTAAGTGGACGTGAGACGGAATGTACATCCAGCGTTCTTAAATTGTTAACCCACCTTTTCCACTCTTCACTGTGTCTCTCACTTAATGGGTCATCCCATTGTAACCATTTCACGCAAGACTCGTGAAGTAATCACCTTTCCGGAAGTAGATAAGGTGATGCTAATCCAAGTAGGTCAAACACGGACGACAACACACAGAGCACACCTCTCCAAGTGAAGTGACTGCCTTCTCAATATCACCAACACTAAATCCAAAGGTATCAGAGTTCACATCCCATCCATCGCATACCTAATGTGCGTTCAACTGGTAGAGTGTCAACAGGTAAATCTCGTACAGTAGGTGCTCTGTCTTCTGCAACTATATGCTTCAAAACGTCTAGGCTGTTCGAGACCCACGGAGTTTACCTGACTTCCTCGGATTTAAGACGAGATGATCACGCATATACCACTTTCCTTGCTCGCTCTGATCAACTAGTCTTTCAACGTAACCCTTCATTACATATTTGTCGATGACATCCTTATATTTGGTCCAGAGACCTGCATCCGTTACAAACTTCTTCTTTAAACCCATTAGTCTCCTAAGAGCAGCTTCTCTGTTACAAACCGACTGTATATCTTTAAATCTCCATGGTGGGCCAGCGCTGAAACGCCCATTTTCGTATTTACAAGACTCCTCAACTATTTGAACTGCCTTTAAGTCTTCCACAGAACGACACTTCTCTGGGACACTGCTGTCACAAAACTCCTTGTCATACATACATATTTCTAATCATAGTCTCCAGTTTGTCCCCATTGTTTGTAACCAATGATGATATGTGGACCATGGGTATAGGTCCTCTCACTGTCCATCCCAGTGGTGTTTTCGTCGCGAACAGATCATCTCTACCTCCGTATCTCTCTTCTAATACCTTGTGAGCTTCTGGTACACTACATCCAATGAGTATTCTCACTCTACTATCTTGCAGTGTTGGAAACGGTATGTCACACAGGTGTGTGGCTTACCGACAACTGTTTCACGACTAGGTACTATAGCTTTGCCAAGTTTCATACTGGTGGAAGTAGTGTAAGCAATACCTACTTCAATGGTTTCTCCAGTAGTCAACTGAAATGACACTCGTTCACATATTAACGTCTTCGAAGAATTGAAAGTAATTAGGACCAAGGATTGTTTTAGGTCCTTAACACCCAATCAGCCAGCCAGCTTAGCATCTATCAATGTAATGTCTGAACCATTATCTATCCAGCAACGCACATGTATCGACACATGACCTCGGTCCTCTTACTCTTACTGGCACAACACCTAAATAGACCTTCTGGAAGTCGTGCGGTGCAAAACTGCTATTACAGTTAATACAACTCCCCTGATTCGTCGATATTGTCAGCAGCGGATGTAATCCCAGTGAACCACTACCACCATTCTCAGCTGTCTCACAGTTAAGCCTTGTGTGCCCGGCCTTTAAACAGCAGAAGCGAAACCGTTTCCTTTTCACAATTTGTAGCCTTTCTGTCAGAGACATTTGAAGGAAACGAGCACACTCACTAATTATGTGTACGTCGCCACAGATAACACACTTTCCTGAACATCCAATGCTTTGAGAACCTCTCGTCACAAATGACTTTGTCTTACTCGCTGACCTCTCAGTTTCAGAAGCCGGATGCAATATACTGGCGAATTTACTCATAGTCTGATTAACATTACCTGTCACTAATCTCAGTATATCGTCGAACTCTGGCTCTAAACCTTCATCCTCTATACGAGAGCTTATCTTCATCCATTTCCTTTGCAGTCGAGTAGGTAGGCGTCTCGCTATCACCTCTAGGACAGAACTCGAGTTCAGATCGCTCATGCAGTTCATCGAAACCAACGTATTCTTGTAGGTCATCAGATTATCCAGAAACTCAGTGAGTGCCTTGGAGTCATCTCGTAACTGACTACCATTACCTTTAACAGCCTCGAATACATTCCTTACAATCATCGAAGGTCTTCCAAACCTTTGACGCAGGATACGCATAGCCTCCGTATATCCATCCCTAGGTGGCAGAAACTTGCAACAATGTATTGCACTCGCCGCACTACCAGCACAATACCTCAACAAGTGCATTAGTTTCATTTCATCACTTAGTTTCAAACCCTCTAGCATGACTTCGATTTCTTTCACAAAGTGAGGAAAGTCAGCAGGATTCCCTTCAAAGCACCTAGGCTCGAACTTCGGCGGCTTTAAGCAACTTATCTCTCTGGCTGGTACATCATGATTATCCAACATAACATCAGACATAACATTACACACATTAGACAAATCATCAAGACTTACTTTGTCGTCTGCCTCCGAAACGCTTCGTCCTTTCTTTGGCCCAGGCATTATTGAACGTTACCAAACGATCCAGAAAAGTTTCAAATAACACTCGTCCAAAGAAAACTTGCAGACACGAGGAAAAACAAATTGCCAACAAATACAGCGAATA